TTTTTTTTTTTTTCTGGTTTTTTGGCTTCATTCGGCTATGTTGAATGTTTTTCAGCTGCCACCCCGAAGCAGATCAGAGAGCTTATGCAAGTTGATGGTCTCACAAACGATGAAGTCAAGAGTCATTTGCAAGTGCGTTTATCTTGAATTTGTGTCATCTTTTCTCCAAAAATTGTCGTCTAAATGCTTACTTAAACTTAGTTACTCTTTTTGGTTGCATTTCAGAAATACCGCCTTCACACAAGACGAGTGACCCTATCGGCAAACCCGTCGCCCGGCATTGAGCTGGGAGGTCTGTGGACATCTCATGAACACTGCGGTGAGCCCTCAAAGGCCAGTAATTCCCAATCGAGCTCGCCTCAGGGCCCGTTTACTTCAACAACCGGTACTGATAGCATGGAAGATGAGGAGGATGAAAAATGGGAGAGCCATAGCTGGAAGAGTCATAATCAAATATCCAAGAAAGTTGTCGTATAGTTTTGTTGCTGTCCGACCATGAGTTTTTGCAGATACAAGAAGAAATGACAGACATCGGAGGACTTTGATTATAAATAAGGTTTTATGATACTATATGAATGATCTTGGGGCTGTGTGGCAGAATTTTTGCAGGACTAAGTTTTGTCTGAGGCTTTGTTTTTTCCCCATGAGATTCTATATTATTTGGCGTTTTAACATGAGCAAGTGGATCATGTGTCAGGCTTTCGTCTTCTCCCCAATTCCTGATACAATTTGATCTTCAGTTAACTGACCTTTGAAATATCAGATGAATTAAGAGTGAAGATACAAAAGACTAAAATTGAGAATGAGTTGATTTATGATAATATGATCAAGTAAAATGAAAAGATGAATAAAAAATAAGTACTTTTGCCCTTTTTGGGTAATGAAGCACGAGCTGAGTTTGCCTAGACGAGACGACATTAGATGCCTTCTGAAATCGGACCACAGCAGTCAGCAAACATTAGTTTTTCAGGTCCACCACAAGCTCAAGGTCCACTCATTAATTATCAGTTACCACACCTTCGTTGATTTGATATATAACTCGGAGTTGGTTCAAATAAAAAATTAAGTCTGGTGTAAGAACCGTGGAAATCATATTTGATGATATTTTTAATTGTGTATGATGCTATTTTTAAATATTGTATGGTGCTATCATTTTCACAAATGCTAATAAAAATTTTATTGCTATTTTTAATAAAATGCATCCTAGTTAAAAATAGTACAAATGCACAATCAATCATAACACTACATACAATTAAAAATAGCTCACGTTGTCACACTAGGACTTGGTTCTCATTTGAACCACATCCCATATATATAATATATATATATTTCTTCTATAATTGTGTTTTATAAGTGTATAAGTTCCACAAACTTTTAAGTGTAAACTAATACTTATTTAATATTAGTATTAAGTATTATATGATAGAATAATCAAATAATAGTATTACACTTATTTGATGAAAATTGTAACGGTTAGTTTCTATAATTAGATAAAAAAGCGGGAAAACCGTATTAATTGGATAGCCCATGTTGATATAGTCTATGATGTAGCCCTACTTGTGAACCGGAGTCAAGTATGAAGAGGTCGAAGGGAGACCTGAAGAAAGAGCTACCTGAGGAGGTCTAGGCGAGACTTGAAGGTTGTTGTTATGCAGGATGGAACAACTATAATAACGTATAATTAATGCGTAAAAATGTAGGAAATTTGTATTATTGATGGGCCATTCTACGTTATAGGAGGTCGTTTTCGTATGAACCGGGTTGTTTTTGTATGCTTATATTTAATGACCAGAATTGTATTCTCGTACGAGAAATAAATTCCGCTATTTATAGTAACTTTTGGCCTGGCCCGTACTTTGAAGTTGGTACGGCTGCATTAAATGTAAAGCGCCTTTATGAGGCGGTTTTCTGCAGGTGGGCCCACAGAAATGATGATGATATGTGTGGCGTGTGGTTCAGTCGTGTTGGTGCCTTGTCAGCAACTTTGAGCTCGGTTTCATTGATCTCGGGCTCAGAGGAGAATCTCGGTGTCTCATAGATGTTGCCAATGCAAGGGTGAAATCGGTTTTTCTCACGGTCTGGGCCGAATTTCTATAAGTACGCGTTTAATCCTTATTTAGTTCCCTTAAGTTTGATCTGACCAGGTCGGTTGTCAACAAAGGTCTCGGTGACTAAGTATAAAGAGGTCTCAGTGAGTAGATCGCAGTAAAGAGATCTCTGCAACTAAGTATGAGGAGCTAGAGGTGTTCTGAGGAGACTAGAGATCTCTATGACTAAGTATGAGGAGGTAGAGGTGTTCTGAGGAGCTAGAGGTCTCTATGACTAAGTGTGAGGAGGTCTCATCTACGAGATCTTTAGAGAGCTGAGTTCACTACATGAGCATGACCTGGAGATGGATAAGAAGGAATTTGATGATGACTCATATGTGATTAGGATACATATAAGATCAAACCTTAGGGCTATTTGGGCGGGCTGACCTCGGGCTGTCCGGGCAGTTCGAGCAAGTATTTTCGGGTAGGTATTTCCTATATACAAGGGGACTGAGGTATAACCCTAAGCTTCTCTCCCACATTCTACACACTTTACATACATTATAGCTCTAGATTGCAGAGCTCTATCTTCTTGCTTGTGCTGACTTAAGCATCGAAGGCTCGTCGTCGGGAACACCTCCTGACGTTGACTTCTTGCAGGTATCCGGAGGCGGTTCAGGTGGATCGGGGCTCTTCTCAACCAATTATACCTAAATCTAGGAAATGACCCATCAGTCTAGTATTCGGTTATGTGCATATGCACATATGCAAATAAAATTTTATATGTTATATTTGTATGTATGTAACATTTAAAACCAGATGTTAGACAATGAGGATAATATTTTTTTAGTTTATCTTTAGTAAATTAGTAAAAATGAACGATATAAATTTAGACTTTTTATTTCATAATAATCTTTATATTGATCCCAATAATATAATTTTTGCAAGTTTGGCTAATTGTGATCAATTAATTTGACAAAAAATAAAAAATAAAATTGAAATTATTATTACAGCAACTGTACGGAGTTTTATGAGTTTTATCATTTCATAAAAAAAAATTAATTAATTAAAAAAATGAATTACTTCATGAGCTAAAAAATATATAATATTGTAAATAAATATTTCGAAAAAAAAATATTTAGATTAGAATTTCATTTACTGTGACTTTATTATTAATTAGTAGTAGCTATTATGTAATAAAATAATAAAAATATGATTACTTTAGTAATGCAAAATATATTTGAAGAGAGTGGAAAAACAAAAAATTATCATATTTTTTTTTGTCAACAATAATATATATATATATATGTGTGTGTGTGTGTGTGTGTGTGTGTGTGTGTGTGTGTGTGTGTGTGTGTGTTGTAGATTTTGCAAAATGAAGAAAACTAAAATATGTGAATAAAAAACAAAGCAAAATCTTTTTTAAAATGTTACGGCCTAATTGTCATTGACATCAATTTTGAGTTGAAATTACGGTGTCAAATAGTCACTTATTCTTGATTTATTTTGTCAAATTAAGAAATGGATATTAAAAGATGCAACACTAAGGTGAAAATAAGAAAATTGATTTGCTAATGATAATAACATAGGATTTAAATGTGAATTCATAGTAATAAAAAAAATGAAATATATATGAATATATGTTGAAAAATGTTACAAAAATACTGTAAATTGATGCGCAAATTAAGGTGTCAATTGACTACTTATTCTCATTTTTTTTTTTTTTTTTTTTTNNTTTTTTTTTTTTTTCAAATGACGAATATTATATTAAATGTGTGCAACAATTTTGGTGGACTATGAAATTTTAAAAAAAATAATCGAATATAATTGATTTGTTATGGAAGAATTTATGTTGGACATTTGGTTGATTGACCAAGACTTCATTTTGTGTATTTTATTATACTATATATTAATAATTTAACTATGTTTTTTTATGATGCAGGTGCACATTTTCCATTGGAGGATATAATGGAGATTTGTTTATTCGTTATTAACTGATTTTGTATTTTGTTTGTAATAAAACATTATTGTTTAATTCTATTACTCCTTTTCATAACATAAAAAAATGTGATAGTAAAAGCAGATTTTTTATTAAATTAAATCGGTTGGATTAAATTTGTTGAATATGATTCTAAAGCAAAAATTAAAAATACATTAAAATAGAATATAGTTAAGTGGGTGAAAAAAACACAAATGACCAAATTAAGTAAAAATAATAGAAATTACATTATATATAAAAGTTGAATAATGTTTATTATAACTTTTAAATAAAAAATAGAATAAAGTGAAAAAAAATATTAATAATGGAATTTTCTAACCGAAATTGGATGAAAACCAAAATATTTTTGTTTATTGCTTTGCTATAAATTATATATTTATATATATGTATATATGTATGTGTATATATATATATATATACACGCATATATATTTTCCCGATTTTTTTATTTAATTATAGAAACTAACCATTACAATTTTCGTCAAATAAGTGTAATAATATTACTTAATTATTCTATCATATATTACTTAATACTAATTCTATCATATATTACTTAATACTAGTATCAAATAATTATAAGCTTACACTTAAAAGTTTGTGGAACTTTTACACTTATAATATACAATTATAGCTATATTTTTTTTCAGGCTATTTATTTTATAATTAGTCTTATCTTTTTATATATGAAAAAAATAAGCAATATTGAAATAGATAAAATGGCAAAACAAATCCTTAAAGTCACATAAACAATTGTAATAACAATAATTTATTAATTGATAATGATCACCTAAATTTTAAGAATTTGATTATTCATCACATTTTATGCAATTTATATACTGATCCATATATAACTACATAATTTTATAATTATTATGTTCAATTTTAGTAATGATTAAATTTATAAAATGTGGTATGTCACTATATAACTTAAGATTTTAAATATGATATTCATACATGTGATTAATATTTTTTTTTTGTTTGTATCTGTGCATATGCATAGGATTGTGTAGTATTATATTTATATAATTATAGACATATCAATTAATGCAATCAAAAATATTTTCCCCTCTATTTTCAATTTATAGTAGAAAAACCAAACATTACATTTAACATTAACCAATTAAGTGTAATAATATTTTTTAATACTTTATTGTATAATAGTTATAACTAATACGAGCTAATTATATATATGAACATACTTACAAAATTCTATTGCAATACTTTTCTTCAAGATATTTATTCTACGATCATTATTATTTTTTTCAAATATCATTTAGCAATTTTTCTGTAAAGTTAGCTAATTGATTTAAGTGAAATAAACAAATCACTTAAAATCATATATAAAAATTTATAACAATAATAAAAATACTTTTAATTTTTTTTTAACTACCTAATTAGTCACGATTCTTTAAAATTATAAGAAACTCATTATCATTTACATCCTATGC